ATTAGCATATGCTATAAACATCCATCCCATAAACATCACATCCCATAAACATCACATCCATAAACATACCATCCCATAAACATCACATCCATAAACATCACATCCCATAAAAATCACATCCATAAAAATCACATCACATAAACATCACATCACATAAACATCACACCACATCCCATAAACATCACAAACCACAGTGTCCATTACCGTGCCGACAAGAAACCAAAACTTCCAAAAAATTTGAAATTCACCAACTAGCAACATGATGTCAAAATACATACACAACATTACATATACAAAACGCAAAACATCTACCGTACAAAATGTCGCTACAATTTATGTAAATCTGACAATTACTAAACATAAAACACGACTCGAAAAAATGACAATTACTAAATCAAGTACACAACCTGGAAAGACTGACATTTTCTAAACCAAATGCACAATCTGAAAAGATTGACATTTTCTAAACTAAGAACGCGATCTGAAAAGACTGACATTTTCTAAACTAAGAACGCGATCTGAAAAGACTGACATTTTCTAAACTATGAACGCGATCTGGAAAGACTGACATTAAAATATCATCTGAGAATACGGCTAGAAAAGACTTAAAAAGACTGCTCCGGTTATTTCAAGTTTTTGAATGAGCGGCATGACGTCACTGCATGCCTTGACAGAATCTGATGGGCCTTAGAAAATCTCTCAACCGTGTTTCCGTGTGAGAAGTTGATGGGGTAGTTGCTGGGGTTTAGTGACCTCTGTTGGTAGAAGCTGGGGTTTAGTGACCTCTGTTGGTAGAAGCTGGGGTTTAGTGACCTCTGTTGATAGAGTTTAGTGACCTGTTTTTTTTTAAACTAAATGTGTGACCTGTTGTATTTGAATGAAGCTAAACCCGGTCACTAAGCAAGGATTGACTTAGTTTGATGACAGGATTGTGGAAACGTATTATGAAGATTTTCGTTGCCATGGCAACTGTATTGTAAATCGAGCTGTTGACGTCTGGCCCACATATGTCACGTGATAGTCTGACCCATTGATGTCAAGTGTTGGACGGCATGGTCGGATGGTAGAGCATTTTGCTGTCAAACCCGAAAGTTTCGAGTTCGAATCCCGTACTCGTGTGAGCTCTGACTTTCGTTAGGGAAAGACAAGTCGGCTGGTGTAGAGCTGACTTGACCTACTAGTGATATCACGTGGTACTTCTGACCCCCCTGATGTCATTCGTGACACATGATGACATCTCATGTCATGTGCTGCTACTTGACATTTGAATACACGTGTTTCCTTTCCTTAAATCTGTTCGAAATCGTTGCTAGACTCACTTTTAAAAAATGTTCTATCTTTGTGAAAAACCTTATCATTAAACCTGACATTACTGTGGGTTTTGTATTACTGACACGATTTAAAGTATGACATTGATTTAACTGACATTATAAATAAGTCTCGCATGACATTATAAAAGAAACAGACGGCGCAGCTAGACACAACTGACATTACTCATAACACTGACAGTAACCACCTCCCCCCTTCCATCCTCATCACATGACCCATACCACGTGACTTGTTGCCAACATAGTCACGTGACGGTGTCTAAGCAACATTTCTGACAGTTATTTTCTCGATCAACTTCCGGGCATGTCTTATACCGGAAGTGGATGTGTGGGATGGGCGTGGCTGGACATACCTGCCCGCCCCCCCCCCCTTCCCTTGGACTGGAAGTTCGTTTGTCCTAGGCCTGCTTCACTAGCTGACATCACTACTAGGGATCCGTTCATTGGGGCGTTGAACTTTGGGGGGTCAGCGTTAAACTTTAAGGGTCAGCGTTAAACTTTAGGGGGTCAACGTTAAACTCTAGGGGTCAGCGTTAAATTTTAGGGGGTCGGCGTTAAATTTTAGGGGGTCAGCGTTAAACTCTAGGGGTCAGCGTTAAATTGTAGGGGGTCGGCGTTAAATTTTAGGGGGTCGGCGTTAAACTTTAGGGGGTCAGCGTTAAACTTTAGCGGGTCAGCGTTAAACTTATCGTTATTGTGTTTAACTATCTAGAGCTGTAGGCTGTTTATAGCTGTTATAGAAACAGCTTGTTATAATTGTCTACAGGAAGTTCATAAATAACGGTGTTGCTTTTATACAGAATAATCGAGGGTCTATACTGGTAATGGTGTATAGAGCTATAGTTATTTACGACATTTATTTTGTTATACATTGAATAGTTTTATATAACACATTTAGACAGAACAATTTGACAGAGCACTTTCGCTGAAAGAAGAATTTATTTTGACTAATTGCACGTACAGAAAATGCATCTAATTAACTTTCAATGCTAATTAGGTTCGTTGTGACATGCGAGGTCAAGTTAATTAGGGTCAGGACAGACGAGCTTCCTACTGTCGGCGTCAAGCTTCAGTCTGACGTTTGTTAAAAATCTGGCCACGTCAAGCTTTAGTCTGACGTTTGTTAAAAATCTGGCCACGTCAAGCTTTAGTCTGACGTTTGTTAAAAATCTGGCCACATCAAGCTTTAGTCTGACGTTTGTTAAAAATCTGGCCACATCAAGCTTTAGTCTGACGTTTGTTAAAAATCTGGCCACTTCAAGCTTTAGTCTGACGTTTGTTAAAAATCTGGCCACTTCAAGCTTTAGTCTGACGTTTGTTAAAAATCTGGCCATCTCAAGTTTTGGTCTGATGTTTGTTAAAAATTTGTTAAAATCTGGCCATGTCAAGCTTTGGCCACTTGTTAAAATCTGGCCAAGTTTAAAGTTTCAGATTGACAGTTTGGATTTTATTTGTTGCTAATTTTAGTTTTATTTCCCACAACTCCTGGCAATAAAACCGTCTCCGTATATATCGGGCATGTGTGAAAAGCTAATTTTAAAATATACGGTTTTAAGACCTTAAACAAAAATACGGACAGGACTTGCCTCAATGAGTAAGTGGCTCTGGTGGAGTACTTTGAGACAGTGCAGGGGTGTCGAACTATTTGGTGACTGGAACTCTGCTGGTTCGTCTGACGGAATTATTTATTTCTTTATGGCACCGTCTCTTCTGTGTGATGTGTCTGTCTGTCTGACTGTCTCTCGCTTTACGACATTGTTCCATCGTGTTTATAATCCTCTACTTAATACAATTATCTGCTTTGTAAATCTTGTATAATCTTGGCACAATTATTTTAGACATAACCATCATTGGTGTAATGACATATTTAGCATCTCCAGTACGTCCATGCTATTTTTAGAAACTGGTTTAACGTATGTTGTTTTTCACTTATCTATGATGTTGTTGATGTGTGTGACATCTTCATGACATCGTGATGTTGTTGATGTGTGTGACATTGTGCTGTGATGTTGTTGATGTGTGTGACATTGTCCTGACATCGTGATGTTGTTGATGTGTGAGTGAGACATAGTCCTGACATCGTGATGTTGTTGATGTGTGAGACATTGTCCTGACATCGTGATGTCCTGACATCATGATGTTGTTGATGTGTGTGTCATTGTCCTGTGATGTTGTTGATGTGTGTGACATTGCCCTGACATCGTGATGTTAAAAGATGCTGTGACGTAAGACATGTTTTGCTCGGCTTAAATTTACGACGCTGTTGATGTTGTTTGGCTGGAAGGTTCCAGATCTAGAGTCACGTGACGGTGCCATTGTTCTGGTCCACGACTCGTTCCGCTTGAATGGCCGCAGAGAAATATATATATATATGTGTGTGTGTGATGGGATGACGTCATGTAAGGTCAGGGTAGCCCTGTATGTAGGTGATAAACATAAGGTTCATGGGGTATTGTACTAGGTTGATGTTGAGGGTAGCAATATAAGGTTGATGTGGATGGTATCAATATGAGGTTGATGTAACACAGACCTGGTTGTCTTGACCATAGCTACCCCAGGTTAACTGGGAGAGAGAAAGTTTGTATGTGAGGGGAGAGGGGGGTTGTTAGGTGTACATGTGGGAATGTGTGTGAGAGTCTGCATTTGTGTGGATGCACGTGTGGTTGTGTGTGAGTGTTAATGTGAGTGTAAATGTGTGTGTGAGTGAGTGTACGTGAGTGTAAGTGTAAGTATGCGTGTGTGTAAGTGTGTGTGCGAGCGAGCTCTACTGTAAATAGCCGCTCACCCTCCCCCGTGTAGACCACGCTGACTGACTTGGCCATCTGCCCTAGGCGAGTAAACAAAAAAACCAACAGACGCCAATCTTTTGGCTTACATAGCTCGCAAATATTGATGACGTCATTTTCAACATTTTTTGCAAGCTGCGCAAGTCTCACGTAGGTTGTAAACAAAAGTTGACCAGAAGTTGTACAACCACGTGTGTACTAAAAATAGCCCCGCGTGTTCTACTTATCAGCTGATTGGCTAGACACGAGTGTGGCATCAGTGGGACAGCTTCAAGACACACCTATTGTGTCGCTGGTCTAATCTCTCCCCCCACCCCCCACCCCCTCCATACCTCCCCATGCCACACTGACAGTGACACCAGAACCTGACTTGTGTTCTCTAGAGGTCACGTGATCTTGTCCTGACGATAATCTGTGTCCTGACGGTACAGTCTGTTGGCTGTGCCGTCTGTGAAGCACGGATTAGGTCGGCACCTCGTGACTGTGCCAATAGGTACAGTTGTACTAGTACTATACAGTGCCATTACTGTACCAGGAATATATATGTATCAGCGCTATGACTGTGCCAGCGCTATGACTGTACCAATGCTGACTGTGCCACTGTACCAACACTACGACTGTGCCACCACTGACTGTGCCAGCACTCTAGCTGTACCAGTATTGTGCCAGCAGAAATCAGCCCGTACCTGGTCTTCTGGTGACGCGTCACGTGACTTACCCCGACACTTCCTGCCATAAAGACGCCACCTGTCGGCCGGTGTAGTTGTCGTCTGGCGCTAACCGACATGGATGTACACGTCGTGTCGGCCGTCGTGTCGGCCGTCGTGTCGTAGTGTACCGACATGTAGGGTCGAGTACGACAGATCACAAAGTGCAGTCATGTTTTATTCAACCGTCATTGATTCTGTTTTACAGCGATAAATTGGGTTGGTTTTCAAATCAGATAAAAAAAATTGTGAGTTATCTCCCGTTGGCTTGACATGTGTTTAATATTTCTTATGCAGGGTTTTGTTTGATATTTCTTATGCTGGATTTTACAATCAAATAGTTTAAACAATTCTTGTCTGTTGCATCATGCATATAGGAGTCTGGAACTTGAATTTATTTCAACCTTGACCTCTGAATAAACGATGTGATTTTGTTGTGTTTCAATGATGTGCTCAAATTTACCTAAGGATACAATGGTTGCTATGGTTACGCGTGATGGAGAACATTCGCTACAGGGATAACTTTCTGAATTCTGTGTGGGTCTCTGTGTGGGCTAGTGTGTGGAACGCTGTGTGGGGTGTTGTTCTGTGAGGACCCGGGAATTTTGAGTCGTGTGTTGTGACGGATTAAACGCTGAAGATGAGTCAGGGGTGGCGCGTCAGGCGCAAGTCGTACGCCATGGGGCAGACGCCCCCTCCACTCTACTCCATCCCCGACACCGACACGCCCGTGGATTTCCACCAGGAGCAGATCTTGAAGCAGAAACACAGGGAGAGGAGGGTCTCCATGCCAGCCAGACCTGCGGTAGGTAGCCTGTGGCTAAGGTAGCCAGTGGCTAGTTTAAGGTAGCCAGTGTCTAAGGTAGCCTGTGTCTAAGGTAGCCTGTGGCTAGTTTAAGGTAGCCAGTGGCTAAGGTAGCCTGTGGCTAGTTTAAGGTAGCCAGTGTCTAGCTTAAGGTAGCCTGTGGCTAGTTTAAGGTAGCCAGTGTCTAGCTTAAAGTAGCCAGTGTCTAAGGTAGCCTGTGGCTAGCTTAAGGTAGCCAGTGGCTAAGGTAGCCTGTGGCTAGCTTAAGGTAGCCAGTGGCTAAGGTAGCCTGTAGCTAGTTTAAGGTAGCCAGTGTCTAGCTTAAGGTAGCCAGTGTCTAAGGTAGCCTGTGGCTAGTTTAAGGTAGCCAGTAGCTAGTTTAAGGTAGCCTGTGTCTAAGGTAGCCTGTGGCTAAGGTAGCCAGTGTCTAGCTTAAGGTAGCCAGTGTCTAGCTTAAGGTAGCCTGTGTCTAAGGTAGCCTGTGGCTAAGGTAGCCTGTGTCTAAGGTAGCCAGTGGCTAAGGTAGCCTGTGGCTAGCTTAAGGTAGCCAGTGTCTAGCTTAAGGTAGCCTGTGTCTAAGGTAGCCTGTGGCTAAGGTAGCCAGTGTCTAGCTTAAGGTAGCCAGTGTCTAGCTTAAGGTAGCCTGTGTCTAAGGTAGCCTGTGGCTAAGGTAGCCAGTGTCTAGCTTAAGGTAGCCAGTGTCTAGCTTAAGGTAGCCTGTGGCTAGCTTAAGGTAGCCAGTGGTTTAGTTTAGCTAAGGTAGCCAGTGTCTAGCTTAAGGTAGCCAGTGTCTAGCTTAAGGTAGCCTGTGTCTAAGGTAGCCTGTGGCTAAGGTAGCCAGTGTCTAGCTTAAGGTAGCCAGTGTCTAGCTTAAGGTAGCCTGTGGCTAGCTTAAGGTAGCCAGTGGTTTAGTTTAGCTAAGGTAGCCAGTGTCTAGCTTAAGGTAGCCAGTGTCTAGCTTAAGGTAGCCTGTGGCTAGCTTAAGGTAGCCAGTGGTTTAGTTTAGCTAAGGTAGCCAGTGTCTAGCTTAAGGTAGCCAGTGTCTAGCTTAAGGTAGCCAGTGTCTAGCTTAAGGTAGCCAGTGGTTTAGTCTATCTTAAGGTAGCCTGTGGTTTCGTTTAGCTAAGGTAGCCAGTGTCTAGCTTAAGGTAGCCAGTGGTTTAGTTTAGCTAAGGTAGCCAGTGGTTTAGTTTAGCTAAGGTAGCCAGTGGTTTAGCTTAGCAAAACGGGGACTGGGCGTTATTGGGCGGGGACAAAACGGGGACTGGGCGTTATTGGGCGGGGAGGGGGGGACTGGAAGATAGTAGCGCATGGACAGAGCTTTTGTGTTATATATATTTTAAAAAATGCCACAACATCATACATACACAGAGTAAACAGTACACTACACACATACTACAGCTACACACCACACTAACACACTACACACATACTACAGCCACACACCATACTGACACACTACATACATACCATATCCACACATCACACTGATAACACACTACACACATTCCATAGCCACATACACAGTATATACATAGAGCAGCTACCTAGTTAAAGTTAGGGGATCAGCATAAGTTTTTAATTAACATTAAATGCTAATTAGCACCAGGTGAAATAGAGCATCGAATAACCTTGCCGTGACCTTGAACTATATCCCATTTCACACCTCGCCATTTCCGCTGTCGCGTTAAGCTCATCCAACCGTTACAATCAAACCACTGGGGGTGGGGGTTGGAGGGCGGTTGCACTGATCTAGACTGTACGAAATACTTTTCAATGTTAGTCCACATGTTTTATCTAGCACACATCACAACACGCTTAAGCCGTGCCAACACACCCCACTTCACTTTCACACAGCCTGTATTATCAGTACACATCATCATACAACATACAGCACACCATATACATCACTCAACATGTGTGCTGACACAGTTATTACACATTTATACTCATGTGTTGTGTGTAAAATCCATCACACGTCACCGACATTTGGATAGAATACTTGTACATAAATATTCGAGTTCTCTCCCCGTTTAAGGTTCGGTAATCCGATATTTCAATCTGATAAACTCGTGTCCTTGAAGGAATAAGGGCATTAGATACGTAATCTGAGTCGAAGTTAAATATAGGATAATTTTTTTTTGTTTAAGGTATTCCATGCATGTTTTATAATCTCTACACACACATACATTCACACACATACAATAATATACACACACAGCCAGGCACATATTTCCGTGTTGCTGTTAAGGTTTAAATTTCAAATTTTTTTTTAATGAATGAATTGCGCCTTGTCAGGTTTCTGAGACAACAGTGGAGCTTAAGTTCTAGAGACAACATGAACTAAGTCTAACCCCGATCTTGACACTAACCCTCACTTCGTGATCCCAATCCTAGCTCCAATCCTTCATTCATGACTCCAATCCCCATTTCACTCATGACTCCAATCCTCATATGTTTATGACTGTAATTATCCTTTAATTCTTGACTCCATTCTTGACAGCATTCCTGACTCCAACCCTTACTATCTGACTCCAACCCTCACCTTATTACTGAATCCAACCCTCACCACTGACTCCAACCCTCACCACTGACTCCAACCCTCACCTTATTCCTGACTCCAACCCTCACCACTGACTCCAACCCTCACCACTGACTCCAACCCTCACCACTGACTCCAACCCTCACCACTGACTCCAACCCTCACCTTATTCCTGACTCCAACCCTCACCACTGACTCCAACCCTCACCACTGACTCCAACCCTCACCACTGACTCCAACCCTCACCACTGACTCCAACCCTCACCTTATTCCTGACCCCAACCCTCACCTGACTCCAACCCTCACCTTATTCCTGACTCCAACCCTCACCTGACTCCAACCCTCACCTTATTCCTGACTCCAACCCTCACCACTGACTCCAACCCTCACCTTATTCCTGACTCCAACCCTCACCTTATTCCTGACTCCAACCCTCACCACTGACTCCAACCCTCACCACTGACTCCAACCCTCACCACTGACTCCAACCCTCACCACTGACTCCAACCCTCACCTGACTCCAACCCTCACCTTATTCCTGACTCCAACCCTCACCACTGACTCCAACCATCACCTTATTCCTGACTCCAACCATCACCTTATTCCTGACTCCAACCCTCACCTTATTCCTGACTCCAACCCTCACCACTGACTCCAACCCTCACCTGACTCCAACCCTCACCACTGACTCCAACCCTCACCACTGACTCCAACCCTCACCACTGACTCCAACCCTCACCACTGACTCCAACCCTCACCACTGACTCCAACCCTCACCTGACTCCAACCCTCACCTTATTCCTGACTCCAACCCTCACCTTATTCCTGACTCCAACCCTCACCTTATTCCTGACTCCAACCCTGACCTTATTCCTGACTCCAACCCTCACCACTGACTCCAACCCTCACCTTATTCCTGACTCCAACCCTCACCACTGACTCCAACCCTCACCTTATTCCTGACTCCAACCCTCACCACTGACTCCAACCATCACCACTGACTCCAACCCTCACCACTGACTCCAACCCTCACCACTGACTCCAACCCTCACCACTGACTCCAACCCTCACCTTATTCCTGACCCCAACCCTCACCTGACTCCAACCCTCACCTTATTCCTGACTCCAACCCTCACCACTGACTCCAACCCTCACCTTATTCCTGACTCCAACCCTCACCTTATTCCTGACTCCAACCCTCACCACTGACTCCAACCCTCACCACTGACTCCAACCCTCACCACTGACTCCAACCCTCACCACTGACTCCAACCCTCACCTGACTCCAACCCTCACCTTATTCCTGACTCCAACCCTCACCACTGACTCCAACCATCACCTTATTCCTGACTCCAACCATCACCTTATTCCTGACTCCAACCCTCACCTTATTCCTGACTCCAACCCTCACCACTGACTCCAACCCTCACCTGACTCCAACCCTCACCTTATTCCTGACTCCAACCCTCACCTTATTCCTGACTCCAACCCTCACCTTATTCCTGACTCCAACCCTCACCTTATTCCTGACTCCAACCCTCACCACTGACTCCAACCCTCACCTTATTCCTGACTCCAACCCTCACCTTATTCCTGACTCCAACCCTCACCTTATTCCTGACTCCAACCCTCACCTGACTCCAACCCTCACCTTATTCCTGACTCCAACCCTCACCTTATTCCTGACTCCAACCCTCACCACTGACTCCAACCCTCACCACTGACTCCAACCCTCACCACTGACTCCAACCCTCACCACTGACTCCAACCCTCACCTGACTCCAACCCTCACCTTATTCCTGACTCCAACCCTCACCACTGACTCCAACCATCACCTTATTCCTGACTCCAACCATCACCTTATTCCTGACTCCAACCCTCACCTTATTCCTGACTCCAACCCTCACCACTGACTCCAACCCTCACCTGACTCCAACCCTCACCTTATTCCTGACTCCAACCCTCACCTTATTCCTGACTCCAACCCTCACCTTATTCCTGACTCCAACCCTCACCTTATTCCTGACTCCAACCCTCACCTGACTCCAACCCTCACCTTATTCCTGACTCCAACCCTCACCTTATTCCTGACTCCAACCCTCACCTTATTCCTGACTCCAACCCTCACCTTATTCCTGACTCCAACCCTCACCACTGACTCCAACCCTCACCACTGACTCCAACCCTCACCACTGACTCCAACCCTCACCTTATTCCTGACTCCAACCCTCACCTTATTCCTGACTCCAACCCTCACCTTATTCCTGACTCCAACCCTCACCTTATTCCTGACTCCAACCCTCACCTTATTCCTGACTCCAACCCTCACCACTGACTCCAACCCTGACCTTATTCCTGACTCCAACCCTCACCTTACTCCTGACTCCAACCCTCACCACTGACTCCAACCCTCACCACTGACTCCAACCCTCACCACTGACTCTAACCCTCACCTTAT